TGTATACAAAATAAAATGTAACGACTGTACGAAGGTTTATATAGGTCAGACAGCCAGGGAATTGCACACCAGAATCGGTGAGCATAAGCGTTCCATTAACAAACCACCGAGAAACGCAGATGAATACCAGGCGTTAGTCAAAGATTCAGCAATGGCAGGGCATGCTCTAGACACTGGGAATGGGATAGATTTAGAAAATGTGGAAATCCTGAGACGGAGTTTAAGATTCACACCACAGCGACTGGTGGCCGAGGCGGTGGAAATCGCCAAGCATCCGAGCGTGAATAGAATAGAGGGGGTAGAACTTGCAAACGTGTGGAGAGCGGTGCTAGATCATCCGGGATGACACGAGGCGGGGTGCAGTTATCAGCGACATCGCCTGGGTCTAAAAGTACAAAAATCCAAGCAACGTTAGATCCAATTAACCACCCCACCCCCGTCCCCAAACTAATTGTCCCATTACCCTTGGACGAACAGAGGTGAACGAAATCTGTGAACGACCCCAAGAAGAATTTTCCATTAAGGTGACATAGACTAAAGAAGCAGGGACGAGAAAATCCGTGTTCATCATAAAGACGAACCCCCCAAACCAATCTATCGTAAAGCTTAGTCATCACCACTAATCAACAAACAGAGACATCAGACTGAACACCCAGCACTGATCACGTCACTAGTCATAAGGAATCTCACGGATTGGCTCCCTGACTGCCTTAAAACCCAATCAACCTACTTACTTACTCACTTGGCCTGACGAAGCTTTTGCGTCAAAAGCGAAACGTCGCCCAGCAATAAATCCACCGATTGTTTACCAAACCCCTCTGAAACGATGACTTCCCAATCGGTCTCAAACATTTTCCAATTGTTTTCATTTCATTTTAGTTTACTTCTGCGACCGATTTCCGGGAAACGTTGATGATCAAAAACACCAAAGACTGACAATACTGAAGAAATCTTCGACCACCCCAATCGGTCCCAAACATTTTCCAATTGTTTGAAAATCATTTTAGTTTACTTCTGCGACCGATTTCCGGGAAACGTTGATGATCAAAAACACCAAAGACTGACAATACTGAAGAAATGGACACTTCGACCACTAGGCCGAGCCGCCACTCCCTACCATTAATTTGGATCCTACAGCTAAAGTACAATCTTGGGCGAAAAGCTCAGACGATGGTGGCTTATGACTAAATATGTTCCCTCAAACGCTACCAAGCTTTTGTTCTGACCCACCTAGGCAACTGAGGAAGGTTAGTGAGAGTGCCCACTTTCAAAGAGACCTGTGTTGAGTGAGACAACTGCACAGTAGTCAGGATGAATCCAGTGGAAACGACACTTTTTGCGTCACTTGTTCTTTGCGGCCTTATAGTGGATTGGGAAGCACTGAATCGAGAGCGTCAAGCAAGATGGTGGCCTGATGGGCGTTGCTCTGACCAAATCCTTACACCCCGTCAGGTGCTTAAACAACATTGTTCGTAAAAACGACCCACGGTTTCAAAGTTGCTAGATTTTTAGGTGTATTTGACCTGGCTGAGCACCCTTTTCCAAATAATACTTTCCAATCTGGAAATACCTCGGGCGTTTGTGAAAAAATAGCCCTTTGTATTCTCAGATTTCCTGGCGTGCGGGAGTATACCGAGAGCTCCTTAAAGGCTTCTGTACAAAAATGTGCCCCTCAAGTTTTTTCAACTTTGTTGTTGCTGTATACAATGGTGGACGCGCCAATGAGGTGAACGCTTGAAAGTCCTCAAAACCGTATGTTCAAGTAGCTGCAAACAAAAATCTCATAGATATAGGATATGCAGGCGACATCGCTCTCATTTACCAACAGGAGAAGGTGCAATTATTTTTAGATGACACAAAGAAAGTCATTTTGTTTGGACCACCCATGTTACAAACAGGCATATCCCTGAATCCCAATGGACTTATGTATGGTACAAGCCGTTTTGATGTATGGCAGTGAGATATGGCCCCTGTGGGTAGCATGACTGAGGCATCTTCAAGTCTTCGAGACTCGTTGTTAAAATAATGGACCGTGTAGGCTGGTATCGGCGATTCCTTACGGAGTTCGACATAAAGCTAGAGTCTGGCTGTTCATCATGGAATTTCAATGTGTTGTTAGATCATGGCAATGCATAAGTATTGTTGATATACAGTCTTGCTCACCGGGTTCCCCCTCAAGTGATATATTTCCGTTTTCTACTGACAGAAGTTGGGCCTCACGTTCAAATAATCGCTGTCTCTCGATTCTTCTACAACACGCAGACTCTAATGCTGCTGCCAACATTTTGCCAACAGTTTGTCGACATCAGCGCTGATCGTGGTGTTCGCTGGTTAAATTGAAGAGCATACTTTACATAACTGCTAAATTAATATAACAGTGAGTTGGGCACGAGCTGAGAAACCATGGGATTATTGTGATGCGCTGAGATATGGCCCCTGTGGGTAGCATGACTGAGGCATCTTCAAGTCTTCGAGACTCGTTGTTAAAATAATGGACCGTGTAGGCTGGTATCGGCGATTCCTTACGGAGTTCGACATAAAGCTAGAGTCTGGCTGTTCATCATGGAATTTCAATGTGTTGGTTAGATCATGCAATGCATAAGTATTGTTGATATACAGTCTTGCTCACCGGGTTCCCCCTCAAGTGATATATTTCCGTTTTCTACTAACAGAAGTTGGGCCTCACGTTCAAATAATCGCTGTCTCTCGATTCTTCTACAACACGCAGACTCTAATGCTGCTGCCAACATTTTGCCAACAGTTTGTCGACATCAGCGCTGATCGTGGTGTTCGCTGGTTAAATTGAAGAGCATACTTTACATAACTGCTAAATTAATATAACAGTGAGTTGGGCACGAGCTGAGAAACCATGGGATTATTGTGATGCGCGCTGTGAATCATTCGCTAAAATCGGTGGATATATGGATATGGAAACCTTGTTGGTGCCAGCCAGCTGGCACGGCTGCATGTATCACGCATGACGTGGCTCAAGAAAGACTAAATGACCTGCCATATCCCATTGAATGGTGATGCATGTTAGGAGTTACCGGAATTCAACAACAAATATCAAAGATGTCACCACTCCGAACTCAGAAGCCAATTAAGCTCACCGATTTTGTTGTTATAAGAAGGTGGTGGAAGTCACGTTGAGGAGATGGTGCCGTGCAGGCTAGCTCAGCAATGGTACCTCCAGGGAAAAGTTTGTAAAGTTTGAAAAGTGGATTCTCGAGTGTAACCGCGGAGAGTTGAACCATATTTAAAAAGCCTCCATGTAGTCACCGGAGTTTTGATAAATTTAAACAAATGACGAGGGCTCAATCCAGTGGGGCCTAGAGCGCTCACCTTTTGACGGCCCTCAGTATTCGCGTAATTGAATTGAATGTTGGAAGTTCTTACATGTCGGGCAATTGAGTTGAGAGTACCAGTTCAAACTCTTAAGCCCAATTTAGGCGTCACGGCGTCTCAGCGATGCTGGGAAATTATCCCGCAAGACTTTTCAGCCACAGTCATGGGCGCTTCAGTGAGTACTGAAATTTTATAGGCCGCAAAAATTTGAATGTAGATTAGGACGGTTTTCGGTTTGAGCACACACGCAACAAAATGCAATATTTTGCTGAACAAATTTTTACTCTACTTGTAAAGGCTTTGCAGCCGAGTGCATTGTGTGGATAACAGGCACCCATTTTGACAAACTGCGCCATGTCACGGTTAAGCTTTCCTTTCTGCTACCTGAAAACGATCCGAATCCCAGCGAGAGCTATACAAACAATCCTGTGAATGCCAACTGACCAATGGCCCTCTGGTTGTATATGGTTCTTATGGGCGTATGGTGATCCTTCTGACCATTGAACATTAGTACTTTCTTTGTAACTTATCATTACTCAAATTGTACCGCTTTCTCTCTCTCACTAAATCTCAGCTTGTTCCTCTTCTCTTCATACCGAATAACTTTTGTTTAAATGATAGCAAAGAAATATGGATGGATACAGACAATACTAATTCTGTACTTCGTGAAAGGCGTGTTCCCTTCTTGCTGTGGCGAGTTACTCTGCCAGTGCATTAACGAGCGGTGATCAGACTACGACGGGATAGAAAGTATCTAGGAATATATTAAGGAAGATTCCAGGAAAGAGATCGATTTGGATTCATTGTGGTGGTAATAATTAACTGTACCAACGAACTGTGAGTTGTACCATCTCGCCTATTTTTACTCGCTTGATTTAACTACTTTAAACTGGTATTTGCTAGCGTTATCCACTACAGGCGCACGGTATTCGCACCATGGAATTGAGTTTCCGGAAGCTACGACGTGCTCCTGATGGACTAAATGGGCTAAGCCATTGAGTTCAGAGCACGAGTTCGCACTTTTGAGCATTATGTAGTCTTCCCGGAATCTCAGCGATGCTACGGAAGCATTCCACCTGACTTTTTCCGCTAAGGACTGTGGTGATTTGTACCTTTATTTTTCTTCCATCAAAACTACTTATTTCGTCAATTGCATAACTGTTATTGCTTGAATGCGAAAAACTAAAAATACATGCACTTGTACCATTTCACGCGATACAAACGTGGTCATGTGCTTTGCGTCTCTCTCCTGATTTCGCCCGCGCTTAAAGCGGTCATTCGCCAGTCTCAAGTGCTAATTCTGGTATCAAAACTTTTCAGGTTATCTTCGGAATCTATTATATGTGAAAACTGTTCGGAAGAAGACCACTGGACAACTGTGCTTGGATTATGGTTTATACGCTGACCTGGACCAACGACGAACTATTTTAAAGAGAACAGTTATTAGTGAGCCTGTTCCATCTGACATCTTTATTAATGTATACTCAATTAGCGTTATTATTTTTATTTATTTGCCACACACTCCTGGTAAAGTAACTTATTGGGCAGCCAGACCACCATAGGGTATAATTGCTTCGAAAGGCAATAAAATTTGATGACCAGAAAAGACCTGAAGAACAATTAAGATGATTTTTAGCATGAACATACGCAACAAAATGCAAAATTTTGGTGTAAAAGGTTTTTAATAATTGCAAAAGTTTTGCAGATAAGAGCACTGTGTGGCCACTGGACCTCTCCTTAATTGGACTCCCTGTGTGGCCCAATCCGGACCAGTTCACTTTCGCACCGTGACAAGCAATCGGCAGGCAAGCGCCAGTGGTCACTTAATAGAACAAATGCTCCAATTTTGCCGTCCCTTGAATCATACACCACAATGCCAGGAATGCAGGTAGCTCATGCAAGCTTATAGAATGTTCACGTCGCATCATCTTCACCGAAGAGAAGTGCAGGTGGCCGAGGTCCATGTCTTTAAGGTGGTTTGCCTAATGATTATGCGTGTATCGCAAAATACGTGAGGCAGGTAGAGCCGGCACACCTGATGCTGCTCTATCATCCAATCGGCATATGTAGGGAAGTTTAGCGTAGTTCATCCCACTTGCAGCTTGTAATTCAAAAACACAGTCCAGCTTAGGAGGCTGACACCTCTGTAGGTATATGCACTTCCTCCTTCTGTCCTGTGATGCGGCTGCAGTGTTGTTCTGCATATTCTCGGCAGCTGGGGTAATTTCGTTACATGTCTTCCGAAGCTTTTGTCACAGATCATTCCTAAAACCAATGTTGTGTGTCATTTTGTAGTACACCGGAAAAGGTAGTGCTTCTTACACTTGCCTTCAAGCCACCACCAACGTGCCTAGGTGGCTTTCGGACACAATTTAATCTGTTGGCGGACGAACTGCACCTCTTGGAAATTTGATAATCCGCAAACGATGCGAAGAATCTACTGTGTTTCAGACGTACGATCTGGCGTCAGCAATTCAGGATAATGAAAAACAGGTGATGAACATGCACCGAAAAATGGTTCTTTGTGAACTTTTCGGTCCTATAGCGTGTTTTTCTAACCGTCACTGCTCAAGCAGTCGCTGATCTTATCATAGTAGCCGCTGTGGCAATTTACCTCACTTACTGTACGTAACACCAAAGTGAGTGTGCATGTGACCTAGTAATATTGTTTTCTAATGACCAACCACTCTGAAAAGGTCCCAGATTAATCTAAAATATGGTTCGCGAAAAACAGATGTCATAACCAACGGAACGTAATAGAGAACAACGCGTTCCGGAAAACATTTTTAATGAAGGAAGGAGAAAACCGAAATTCATTAACCTGTAGTCTTGTACGAGTACGAATGTTTTAGCACGCCAGGAATTGTAATGGAACGGTGATAACTTCGTTTGAACCATATAAATGAAAGGGCCTTTTGGTCATTTTTATGGCCACTCACCTAGCGCTTTCTGAAGCCTCACTGTTTTATTCAGGCTTGTGGTCTTCCATGCCCCAAGCTGCACTGCTTGAAACGCTGTTACAGCAGGTTCATCCATACAAGAAAGCCTGACGGATATCAGCCCGACTGGTTGCAGAAGATAATTTTTTTGTGTCCTTGCCCCATGGTGAGTGATACGTTCCAGTGTGGGTCATGTTAACAATTGTACTACATGCTTATCAAAGTAAAAGTTGTAAAGTGGAAAAGTTATCGCCTTATAGTATTACTTGTTGGTGCTATGACTAATGGCTCCGACTTGGAATGAGTCTTAGTGCTGTCGCGCGTTTAAACTAAACATGCGGGTATTTTTAGCTCTGGGTACAATAGTACTGCACACGCATCCTCACTCACACGCCTTGATAAGACAGGGAGAACCTAATAATCCACTGTATACCGGATCCCGTGATCTAGGTTTGAGACTGTTGGGCGTTCTAAGCTACCCTTTGCATTCAGGATATGATACTTGCATGTGCACTGCTCGGTAATGTATAAGAAGGGAAGCCGTAAACGGTGACAAGTTAAAAGTCATTGCTTCGAAAACACGCAGATATGATTCAATCTGTATTATTTTCAGCGAACGGCGCCCTAAAGGTCACTTCAAAAGTACAATAAGTTAGAGTACAAACAAGAACGCGTCTTACCTGACGTAATTAATGCTATAATTTAAACACAATCCTGTGGTTGGTTTAAGGCGCGAAGTACAACTAATAAAATGCAGCCCGTGACAGCTGTCTGGTGATTCCAATTTCCAACAGAACTGTTGGCAAAATACATCAATTAAGGTGTGTGTAAGATTATTCCCCAGTGTTTCTCTGACATTTCTTTGACGGCTATACTAATGTATGATTTACATTGGGGGGAGTCGGTTATGGCTCCAAAACCACTCGTTGTCAGATATATGTGACCTGAAACCCAAAGGCCATTCAAATGTTGGTACTGCGATCAACGGACTTATCTCCTAGAAGTGCACTTTTAGTCTTCATTTTTTCGTTCAAAATTCAAAGTTCACCTGCACCGGACCCCCAGTTAGTGCAGCAGCTGGAAAATCTTACTCCAACAGCGACCTCAATATTTATGAAACCAAGCAGTAATGCGGAATCTCTAAATAAAGCAGTCGTTATTCGTGGCACGTCAATAGCGTAAAATCAACACTTAGCTTTGATGATATTTGGTATAGTAAGCTAAAAGATGCGAAAACTGGCCTTGGAACATAGTCTTTTAATGTCATCTAATGGGAAGCGAAGTTAATAAATAAAGCAGTCGTTATTCGTGGCACGTCAATAGCGTAAAATCAACACTTAGCTTTGATGATATTTGGTATAGTAAGCTAAAAGATGCGAAAACTGGCCTTGGAACATAGTCTTTTAATGTCATCTAATGGGAAAGCGAAGTTAAAAAATGTCTCTGTGAAAGGTAAATGATTATTGTCGAGGTAACAAAAGCGTTATCCACAAACGCCGCTAAATAAAAAAATGAGACAGTCGAGTCCCATGTTCTTGTGTTCCGAAACTTTCTTAAAATTAAGAAGGTATAACACTAAACAGCCTTCAGTTTTTGCCTCCAGGGAAGCTGAATACTAAATACCGAAGCAAACTTGAAGAGGAAAAAGCAGTGGTTGGCTTTTGAACAATGCAGTACTCTAGAAAGCTAATGAAATCGGTTTGTTTTTTTTTGTTTGGATATCGTAGGCTAGATATAGGTCTTCTGTATGTGAGGAATGCTATGCCACAAACTTTAAAAAGAGTTACATTTCGTGTAATTCTATGTTTAAGCCGTCACCTTGCACGGTTTTCATGATAAAGGACACAGACGAAATTCTGGGGTGGAGATCACCGTCGGTGAGGACAATTCGTTACTGTGGAATCAAATTACAATTATTCTTGTCTTCAAGTAAAGTTCACGTAATTCTTGGAGTCAAATAGTCAGTAGACGTTGGCAAAGGGGTCGTTTGCAATATCAAAACTAAAAAATGATGTCTGAAAAGAACTTTGTAAAAGCAATGTCTCAAGAGACCAATTCCAGCAATTCGCCGTCATCGTCGAATGAAGTGACGACCATCCAACGGATTGCTTAAAAGGTATGGTTGTTTATGAAAATCCGGCTTCAATATCCGCTTTTCCTAGGTGGGCGGGAAAGGAAACCAAGCTACGTCTCGCAACCTAGTGGTGTTCGTCAGCTATATTTGCTGGCCTACATTGTCTAACCCATATCAGTAACTTTGCGAATCTTTAGCTAAGAGTGTGGGGTTTATCCTCAATTAAAAACGATAGCATTCCCGAATTTCTTACTTTGCCGATAGAGATGTACATCACTGACAACAAAGCCGGTGGAATTTTATCGATGCTGACTGCATAGTTTATATTATAAATGATATTTGCAAACGATGATTTATTGCAAAGAAAATTCGATCTACAGGCTTAGGTCTTATTACGTTAGTAGCGATGTGTGGATCTAAATGGCTAATCTTAACCAGCCATTTGTTTCGTGACCTCACAAGCATTGCGAAAATTTAGTTGAATGGAGGGGAGGTACGTAAGGTTAAGTGGAATCCAGATTATGACAACTCTTTCCTCTGATAATCGCACATCAACACGCCTTATGAGTAAGGCCAGTCTATATTGAAAGGCCAAGAAGTGCTGGAGAGCTGTTTCATCTTTATTGAGAATCATCAGCAGTGCGCATCTCACGGAACTCCATTTGAGTGTTTTGAATCCATGACCTCCCGGTTAACAGTTTTAACACTTAACCATTCGGTTATGAACGGATAGTCAGCAGTGTAATCAACTCGCACTTGGACTGGATACAGAGCCACTCATCCACCAATCATGGGGATCCACAACACATGGTCACCCGTATTAGCTGGCTTCTCGGGTGGCGACTTTTCAGATGAGAAGTCACCAATCGGGTGCATCTCATTCTGTTTTCGAGCTACATATAGATTCCTGGTAATATGAGGACATTTTTATAAGTCGATAATCGAATAGCCAGTCGATCAACACGTGACCACATGATATGGTTTTCATGAATGTAGGATGCTTACCACTGTATCCGGTTCAAGTGCGAGTTGATTACACTGCTGACTATCCGATCATAACCGAATGCTTAAGTGTTGAAACTGTTAACCGGAAGGTCGCGGATTTGAAACCCCTAACTGAATTTTCATGAGATGCTCATTGCAAGTATGTCTGTGTAAGGGTGAAGCAGCTGTACGCTAATTCCCAACTTTTCAGCTCAGATTGGCTTGACTTACAGGACGAAATCTCCATTAAAATCTCCAGACTTACTCAGACTACCAATACTAACTTTCTTGTTCATTGATTAAACGAGTGTTGATTAATGTTAAGAATCCATTCAACCTCTAGTGCTTCAGAAGATGTAGTTTGGATAGCTTCGGAATTTCAGAGTATATAGAAGAAAACTAATGCCTACTGAATACGCTCTGTGTTCAGACGCCACGCGAAATCCTAATGGCAAGTTATTCAAAAAATGCTTCCGTATGGCAAGGTAATGGAAGTTTTGTACCTCTATGCGTATCAAATATCTTTGATGAAAAATATGCCACTGCTGATTTAAGAAGCAATGGTTGGTTCAAGGTGATACTTTCAGTGAATAGGCAGGTGAGTGAGTCCGCCAAAAGGAAGGGCTAAATACCATCTAAAAAAGACGAAACGTCCGTTTGAAGAAAAGTAAAACAATTAAATACTTTCGTACTCCACGAAATAGCAGTTCTATGAGCCTAAATGACATCATCTCTCGTTGCGTAGTACGCCAGGTTTCACTACGTTAGGGTGCTTGTAACTAAGACATCAGCTGTGAAAAAAACTACAAAAAGAAAACAATCAGAACTTCATTCCCAAATGAACCACGAGTACCAGATTAAAATCCTATAGAGAATACTCGCGGTACCAACAGTGGTGAGATAAATACGAAAACGCTGACGACAACCGTACCCAATATTCACTCAATGTTTGAGGTGATTAACCCAAGCAAGGCCTACACATAGGTCCCGCGCCAGGTAAAAGGCTGACACTGTTAATCTAAACGCTTCGTAAATTTATAGCCTAGGCCGAATAGCAGAATAAAACTATTGACTTAGTTTTTTGTGATACATTCGAAATCGGTTTTTAACAAGGTATCGGCGTTTCTGACAGGATAGAGCTAAATGTTTTCCAAAAAATGGTATAAAGGCAAGCTGTAACTTAGGAGACTCTAAAGTGAACGTATCTTAAGTACAGTCTTCTGTATTTCCGTATTTAAACAAAGCCCACCGAACTTCCCACCCACTCTTCAGCTTTTGTAAGCGTTTTCAGCGCATATGCGAAAAGCAATCTGAAAAAAACGTCACGTATGATGTAACAAAACAGGAGAAGACAAAATGGGACTAGGTCTGATACCGATTGAGAAGTCGCCGCTTCCAGAAGGTTTGGTGAACAATCGGTGGACTTATAACTGCGCAAATTTTTGCTTTTGGCCCCATAGCTTCGTCAAGTCAAGTGAATGAGTTATCAAGTTGGCGAGGTTTTAAGGCTGACGGAGAACCAGTCAGCAATAGCACAGCAATAGCGCACTAGAACACTGCTGAATGTCAGTTAAAAGGTATTATCGGTTTGTGTGGATACGTAAATCTTACGACCGTTGGCATTTTTCCCTAGAGGGAACTGAAAGAAATCTTGCATTGATGTGGCGGACATAACGACATCCCGCATCTCTTTAAAAGCGACTCATAAAAGAGTGCTGTTGAGAAATTTTGTGACATTCATTAGAAGGCAGCCAAATGGTTCAATAATTTCAGATATAAGCAACGCATACATCCAGACTCCCTCCACATGAACGAGCGGCCGTCAATCCATCAAATGCATAGTATTGTTCTCCCAAGAATATGTTGGGGTTGATAGATCATCGGCAAAACCGGTTGGTGTCTTTTTATGGTAAACCTGGTCATCCGCCAATAGTTTTTTCTAACTTGGATGTACTCTCGCCTTGTTGTTGGCGTTCCGTACAACGCAAGAAACGCACAGTCATCATACGTTCATCTGACTATCATTTTCGAGGAGTTGGGTACACGTGACATTGCTGACACGATTCACTAGAGTCCATAATGTATTTTTATTCATTGCGTATTGGGACGCTAATCCGTATATACACTTTGAGTGCTTCGGAATTCTTCCGCAGGTAAAGCTTTCTTAAAAGCGGTAGGTGAGCAAGAAATACTATCTGACTCAATATGTTTATACAAAATGATCCATCACAAACAACGTACGTTTGTTTATCCACATTTTCTGATTAATTAGAAGAATAACACGGGAAGTCTGTGGCTCCTGTGGAAGTTGCGGTGTGTTTTCTTTCCTCTTGATGCGTAGAACACCGCAGAATTTCAACCACTGAGCGCGAAGTGATTATAGCTTGATTTCTGGTCTTTTGTTCGTTCCTTGTTCCCTTATGCGCTGAAAAAGGATATAAACCGAGAGAACAGTTTGTATCCAATGTGGAGATACCAACATTAGAATGGAGGGTTTAGAGATCATGCCTAGCTTTGGGTCCTTTAGGAGGGTGTGTTACAAACCCTGTCTTTCAGCTTATAAGGAAGCATTTGAAATGAACTGAGTCAGAAAATATGCAACTCTGAACTAGGCATGCAACTCTCTTAACAGAAACGAGATACGAATGGTATGAACTTGAACAAACTACATAAGGTTTTCCGGAAGTTGTGTCTGGTGGAGCTGCGTTGTAAGTCAATTTTTGGGCCATCATCCAGAAAACATTGATCTTCTTCAACACAGGGTTCTGTCCTGTCTTTCCGGGTTGATTAAATTTCCGATTCATTGTGGTAGGTGTCTGAGAGCTAAAAAAAATACCTGGAGGGATGTGATTCTACAAAGTCATAAGGTGAAGTAAACAGTTCAATGAGTTAGAAATCCAAAATACGAAGATAAAAGGTCATTCCCTCGCACTTCCATAAACTGTGGAGAAAAAATCTGCGAAGGAACCCCAGGGGTTCTTTTAGCGCTGAGCAACTGCATTGAAAATGCTGTCGCCTACGGCTCTAAAACAAAAAGTTACATCACTCGATCTGAAGCACATTCTAGAGTATTTGTAAGTTACTTCTTACAGCAAAGTAGTCGAAGCACTCGATGGATTTCCATTTGCTGTCATGGTATATTCCAGGAATGTCAATCGCTTTTTTCCACTTGTTCACATGAAAAGATCAACACACTTTCCATTAGTTGTTGGAGTGGCTTGTGCTTGTGGCTTGACTTTGTCAGATTTATGCCGTGCTACTCGACACTGAAAATTTCATCCAAAGAAAGGCCACAAAATCAAAGAGGCAGTTTTACTGGCCCGCACTGGCACAGCGACTAGTATTCTTGCTGCGTTGATGGATGAATCAGGCCACAGAAATACAATGAGTAGCTATGTTACGATGGCGCCGATACGCAATAGCCGCATATGGTAAGACAATGTGGCGCCACCTGCAGTGAAGTTGTCCAAACAGGCCACGAAAAACGAGTCACAGAAACGAGTAAAATGAAGTGTTTAAATCCAAACTGCTGAACAGACTGACCCTTCGGCCTCTTAGTTTTTTTATCTTCCGACATCATTTCGAACGCCCCAAATTTATGGCTCCCACACAGGAGCTTGAAGTTTAAGTCAGGGTCTTGGGTTGTAGGCCGCTATATTAGCTTGAAGTTTAAGTCAGAGCTATAGGCTTTAGGCCCGCTATATTCATGAGCGTAATTATCCGGTAAACTGTACACGGAGCGGACAATTTGAAATTTCACTAATCTAAGACACACCGACACAGGGGATCTTTGCTCAACTTAAAGGGCAAGCAAACCAGCAAAAGTGAAGCCACTGGCCACAGTGGTCATTGTATTCCAAGGGAACGCCCGATAAGTACGCAAACCCATTGTCGCTTGCTGTTTACTGGCCTTCACCTATATCTCGAATGAACACGAAAAGCATGGTATCTTGTTTGATACCGGTAGATAATACAGAAACCTTTTGTTAAATGTGCGGTCTCATTGTTTCGTAAATGGACAAGAATGGAGGATTGAGCTCACATTAGCCCTAGATGTGACAATACGCCAACGGAAGGGCTAGCGCTAAGGGAAGCACAACAGGACGTCAATATAACGATGGGTATTAGACCTGGTCGGAGACGCAGCATATTATGTGCTGTTCGCAAACAAAAAGTGCACTGAACTTACCAGTTACGATGAATTTCTATACGTTACCTTTGTCCTTGGGCGTCTGCTGCAACAATAGGATAGTTTGTCATTAATAAGACACGAAAGTTTGACGTTCGATCTTATAGTGGGTAGAATTAACCTAATTATTCCTTACTTACCACTTCAAGGTATCTCAAATACAGGAAAGGAGAAAATGGTGGACAGCAATCACACCGAGCTAAAGAAGCCACTTAATTGTTGTGTTCTGTTCCCAAAGTGGGCTCCCTCAGTGACGGACTGAAGATACATGCTGCAATATTTTAATACTCATTTACTTTCCTTAGTTTTATGGGTAAAGCATACGCACTATATAAACAAAGAGTAGAACGAATGTTGAAATCGATCAGAAATATAATCCGACATGTGGGCGGTGCCTTAAAAAGGACAGTGCCCTTCTGAGACTGAACAAAAGACTTAATGAAATTTCGAAATATTGTTTGTAAAAGCGGTTTGGTACCGTTTTCTTCATTAATGACATACTGCAGTTTCAGTCCCTCTTAGATATCCATCCACCCCAACGTACATAACACATCTGAGTGTGAATCAAATGTCGGCCCGCCTGTCTTGGATGTACTTATTTTCTGACGTATCGATGGGTCCCTGAAGCGTTCTGTCCACCGTAAGAACACTTGCAGAGGTCAATATCTATGGCACACCAGTCGCTCTCCAATAGCGTGAGATGGCTCAGTGGTACGCGAACTTTCTGAGTGTGAATCAAATGTCGGCCCGCCTGTCTTGGATGTACTTATTTTCTGACGTATCGATGGGTCCCTGAAGCGTTCTGTCCACCGTAAGAACACTTGCAGAGGTCAATATCTATGGCACACCAGTCGCTCTCCAATAGCGTGAGATGGCTCAGTGGTTAAGACGCGAACTTATTGACCAGAAGCTACGTGATTCAAATCCGACCTCTTCATCTCGACTGCTCCTGTCTAGGCTTGGGCGAACTGGCAGTATCTCGGCTCTCGTGCTTCGTCTGGGTGTCATGACAGCCAGGCACCGGAAGGAAGCTACGACCGAACCATTATTTATTATTTGGCTCATAAATGCGAGCTAGTAAAGATCTTATTCTAGCCACCCACAAGACTACGCATCCCCTATCAAATAGTGCAAGAGAAGGATTTCCTGAAGAGAACTCTGCTGCGAAACTATGATTCAGAAAGTTCCATTAAAATTCACAGTAAGACCGGAACTCGAATGGTTCCGATTTTTTCAGCCACCTGATTCATCCTCCAGTTAAAAGGCAGCCATGTTAACGCCGATCCGAGACGTAAGCTTATTTCGGCTTTACAAAGTCTTCATACTACAGACGAGCTACGCCCCATCCGATCACCAGAGGATCTGTTCTGCACAGCTATAGGCCTAGGCTGTCTAATCTAATGGCTCTAATCGGTTAGTGTGGTTGCCAAAATCTTGCGATGATGGGTGAGTTTCAAATTAGTTTCGATCAGGTTTTCCGAGAAACTCACCTGGAACCCAGCTTAACATTTCGGTTTTGATGTGTCGAGGCAACTGAATGTGCTGCATCAGGCTACCTCATGTTTCAGTCTCTACGATATTCGAGATGTCGCGAGACATATATATTTTTGTAATGCACTACTCACAAGGTTGCTGAAAACTCCCCGACCGCCCACGACCGGTTTTGCCCTTCTTGAGGCTCATCAGGTGGGGGCAGTCCCCGAGTTCCCGTCAACCCTATGTTCTACTTGAGACCGAATTGCACGAAATTAGCGAATATAAACTCATTCGCAAACTATTTTGGTCTTTCGAGAGACGCAACCTTGTGAGTAGTTTCCTTTATGACTTCATGGACTTCATGTTTTACGTCCGCGAAGGAAGAGATCAAGAGAAATGTTAACATATCTTATCACATGTCTTTTATCAGTTCTAATAAAACAGATAGAGGGACGCAGAGTTTTCAAACTGTGACTTTCTGGGGAAATATTCGGGTTTTAAAAACGGCATCAAATTCTACAATTTTATGGAACAACGATATCGGAGAGATTTCGGGTGTGCATCTAATGACCAACTAGATTGTTTGGCACATAGGCAGGCTTCCATCAGTCGCGCCTTTCATATCGACTGCTGATCCACTCACCATTGGTTCCTTTAAACTGGGCCAGTCAAAAGATCGGTCACTGCATGCCTGAAGCCGCACACCAGACGTTAAAAAGGTTGATTGGTCGGTTACTCTGTCTATCCCACGTATCGAACATGTGAACGTGGGCGACGAGCAGATCGCCCGACTCAAAGCTGCTATCCGGTCGGACATTTTGATGTCAGCGTCCAAAATACTGTCCGTTCAAAACAAAGCTGGATATCGTTTTCGGAAAAGTTTGGTAACAATCGGTAGACTTATTGCTGGGCAACGACGTTTCGCTTTTGACGCAAAAGCTTCGTCAGGTCAAGTGACTAGGTTGCGAGATTGGTCGAGATTTAGGACGGAAGGAGAGCCAATCAGTCAAGTCAAGCTAATCTCTGTTAGGTGTCGACCGAGGGTTTTTGTGTTAGGTTGGGTGACCAACTGTTTGACCGATAGAGAAACCTACGGGAATCTGGGTCCAACCTACTGGTTGGTTCTTCTGGTTCAGTTCATGTGATCCCTCTTGAACCTAGCTTGCACTTTCTGTCCGTCTGTGTGGATGAGTTAGTGCTGCGATAGTTGTGTAAGAGGGATTCTGTGAATTCTGGTCAGGTTGGAATTCCCACCCACCCCCTGTCACATGTGAACTCGGCCTATTTTAGACCGATTTCCACCACACCCTCAATTCTGTTAACGCTGTGAGGCTTGGTGATTTCCACCGCCTCGGCTATCAGCCGCTGTGGTGTTAACAGCAATACCCGTCTCAAAACTTCCACGTTATCCAGATCTATTCCATGTCCCGTGTCTAAGACATGTACCGCCATCGTTCAGTCTTTGACCAGCGTTTTTTATCCATCCGCATTCCTTGGTGGTTTGCTTATCCTCCTTTTATGCTCACCGATTCTGGTGTGCAATTCCCTGTCAGTTTATCCTATGCAAACCTTAGTGCAAACGTTGCGGTGAATTTCATGTACACAGTCCCCAGTCCTTGCAACCGGGAGGGGATATTTTAATTGCCCCCAAAACTGAGCGTGGCGTTTTTCCCTTCCGGAAAGCTACTCTAATGTTGGCTAAGTTCAGCAGTCTTCGAATAACATCCTATGTTTGGGTTTTATGTGGAATGACTACTGCGCCAATCCATTCCTTACTAGGCTTAGATAACGGATCCAGTATCTTTCTTAGTTGACACCTAAGCAATCTCACTGGATAGCCTATTTCTTGGAGTCTGTTGGAAATCTCGATCTGAGTTGCCGTTCGTTCGATCTCTTCTGTGCACAGCGCTCTCAAAACAGATGAGACACCACTGATGTACACAGACTTTGGGTCTGCTGATGAGTGGTTTAAGACGGTTCATGTGTTTGTTGGTTTTTTGTGGGTCGTAATCTTTAGTTTCCCAACACCCTTATGCGTTATGCAGTCCAGGAAGGGTAATGTGCCCGAGGTGGACTTTATTTCCATGCTAAACTTGATGTGTGGGCTTAAACTATTGAGATAGTCTTGGAAGCTGTACACGTTATCTCGTTTGGTCACAACAAATGTGTCGTCAACATAACGCCAAAAAACCTTCGATGGGCAATTATATCCGGCCAAGGCTATTTGTCCGAAGTCCTCCATATAGATATTAGCTAAAACTAGGAAGATTGGAGATCCCATTGCAAGACCTTGTTCTTGTGAGTAAACAGTTGTGTCAAAAACAGACAGCTCAAGATTCAAACACACTCTTATTCCCTCGGCTATTTCATCCACCAAGAGTTGTGTCCGTTCCCTGAGTGTCGTATCTACCAGTAACAGCCTGTTAGTTACCTCCAGATCATCTGCTCTAGGGATGTTTGTGTACATTGAGACTACGTCAAAACCCACGAGGACTTCGTCCATCTCCAAAGGAAACCCTGCGACCTTGCTGGCAAAGTCGTACGAATTCCTAATGAAGGTGTTTGATTTCCTCGTGAGCGGTTTTTAGTATACTAGCTAAGAATCTGGCCGTGGTGGCGAGCCTATACCATCCACTATTGGCCTTATCGGGATACATGCCGTGTGGATTTTTGGCAGTCCGTAGAGTTGCGGCTGAATCGCACTCTTTGGATACAACCGATACCACTTATTTTGCCCTAAATAGTTAATTACCGATCTTAAGTATCTACCAACTTCAACCTTTCTCTTATTCATTATTGGAGTAATACTGCTACCGGTAATTTGTCGATAGGGTACATCGGCGAGGTGTTGAAGATAATCGCTCTTGTTCATTAATATTGTGGCCTTATCCTTATCGGCCTTAATAATGACAATACTATCTACCTGTCTCAGTGTGTTCAGCGCTCTCGGCTCTGTTGGTGCAATATTCGGAACCTCCGGTTGTTTGAATTTGAGGACCGTGACCGTACTCGTTGCCCTCCAGCTTACACAGAAGGAAGCTTTCGAAACACCGATCCGACACTGGGAAGTACTTCCTCCGCTTTTATTACCTTTTCGCTCACTGCCAATTTTAGTCCCTTTTCCAACAGACAGTGTTAATCTTTACGCGGCGGTCCATCTGACAAGTTAACTACACTACAGTAACTGATGGATGATTTTTTCCTTTCCATGACCTTTCTAGACCCCTTAATCATGGGAAGCGGTTGGTCGAACTTACGTATATGCCTATTCTTGCATTACCGGCCCTGCGTAAGCTTCACTTCTGTGGATTTGGTGTTGAGTATTTGGAAGTCGGCGGGTGAGATTGCGGTCTGGAGGTCTTGACTCAGTCGACTGGCGTGGCAGCGTACATCGGTTAATTGACGAGTCTTTAGGTAAATCACCTGTTTGAGGAAAGACTTGGACGCTGACAAAGCGATTTTCGCAGAAGCAACTGACGTATGTAGTGGCTTGACAACCAGGGATGTAGCAATAATATTGTGTTTTAAGCATCTAATTTTGAATACGCGATGGTTCTTCCATTTAGCCTCCAGGCCCGCCAATCGAACGTACTCGCTTGACATTTTGCGGATAAGAAGTCCATAGGTATGTCCAATCAGGCGAAACGTTCCCCAGCAATACATCTACCGGTTCTTACGAAACTTTTCCGAAAACAACGACCAGTCAATCGGTTCCAAGCGTTTTCATCTGACTGAAAGCTGGATATATTCGGTTAAATTGCATAACCAGGTGTATCCCAAACATCGGCAGCAAAGCCGAGGAAAGTTTCGAGAAAAACTGTTCAAATTTTACTTGCCTGCAAACTTCCAATTAGCGGGCATGAACGGGCTGGGCTCCCGATGAAGAGGTGTCATGTGAAAGTGAGGTAAAATTACGCCAACATCGATAGGGCGACTTTATGGTAGCTGATAACAGTGCACATGAAACATGGAAGTATTCCTCTTCATGAAACGATAGTGTGAAGAAAAACAATCGCAATGCAAACGCAATGCAAGTAACAAGACTTAAAACAACCAGAGGATGTTTCCAATGTTGGAAAGAAAGATATGGCTCGGAGAATGGCATTTTAGAATATTCCGAGGTGGAAACTTACTTACGAAGTCAGGTCTACGAAGCCGTACAAAGACCACAGTTTGTCGTGTCCACTGTAAGCACGCACGATGCCAAGAATGCCATTGGACAACTACATCTGTTTGTAGTGAAGCACTAATCTTCTTTGCATGGTTTAGTAGTTGTGTGAGGGAACTGATGTCCAAATTCTCTGGGTCTCCCCATTCAACTAACGAGGAACCGTTGAAAGCTGCTCCTGTTTGTGAATAAACTTTCAAGCAACTAAGTTACTGTTCCAGACCAATACACTCAATTGCATATCAACTTGGTTTCCACGGAACACTCAACGGAATCTCGTGCTTATGGAAATATACTGCGATATCTCGAATATCATACCAACTGAAGCATTAGACGGCCTATGTGCAGCACATTCAGTTGAAGAACATCATAAACTAGAGATCCACTCGTGTACCCTAGAAAAACAAATTGATTTGAGAATGAGTGTATTTGCCGTTTTCAGGATGGGTAAACGGAATAGCTTATGCCTTATAGCTTCTTCCTGTGCCTTGAAAACAACCATTAATAAAGCTGAATGAAGATGAGCTTTTGGTCTGACTACGGTGGTCCGGAAAACGAAAGTTCACATACACGGAAACCCTTTTTGAGCACAGAGTGTGACAGCGAAAATTTAACCAACCACCGGCGAATGCAATCTTCAGAACTAACTGAGTGTCGGTTTCTGGAGGGCGAAACTTGCATTCATATGTGCGGGAGACTGTAACTGACATGGCGCACCGCTCACACTTAACAGCTTTGCAACCACGTAGTTTAGAAGTTTCTGATGTGAACGTCCTAATGAAGTCACCACAGATCCTTTACAGTTGGCAACTCTGTAGCAACACAAGTCTAGAGGGATGGCAAACGAAGCTAACGAGATGTTACATGCATGGGTGTAGACATTTAGTCACTCGTGCATGTGAATTACTCAGAGTGGTAGGAGCTCTGGTTCACGGCAGTTACTGTTAAATGAAATGATCAGCTATCAGGAAGCTCAGATTCCTGAAAGTAACCTCAAAACGCCCGGAACCTGTTGCTCCACCAACATCTCAACAGGAAAGCCGGCAAACATCCAGGCCAGTCAATCATTTAGTCAATTCAGCAAAAGCCAATGAGTCCTCATGCACGCCACAGAAGCACAGAAGCGTCCAGGCATTTCATAGAGGCATGATCGATGTTGAAGGGTGTTCACTAACGCCTATCAGACAGCCTGGATCAATGACAGGAAGTCCCCGTTAAATAGCGTGGGGGCGTTGTAACTTTTGCTCTCGCACTCGCTCGTTCGGAATATAGCTGCTGTGTTCCCTTCTGTGAATCTTTTTTCAGGCACTCGACACTGGAGCGGGTCAGCAGTAGATACCACAGATTGGCGAATAAGCAGATATGACATCAGCAGAGAGCATCTGAGATCAAAACAAGGCCTACGTAATAGGCACAATAAGCTTGTCACATAGCAAAGCAAAACAGGCTTCAACTAATGGCTGGATTTTATGAAAATACACCGATCGAGCATTTTACTGTACCTTATCACGATTTCCGTTGTACTCTAATGTACAGATGACGTCACTCAGGCAAAAGTGCCAGTTATCCTATATAATTTTGGCCGAATTCTGCTGCTCCTGGTGAGTAAATTTCTGTCTCGTTTTGGAGTTCATTTCAGCCGCATTCCG